TTCGGTCTGAAGATCTGAGGCGTCTTCAAGTCTTTGATCACCGTTGTTTGCGAAGCATTGCTGGGGTCGGATGGCACCAGCGTGTCCGCAACGATGATGTGCGTAGACGAGTGCTAGGTGGTGATGATCATGCTAGCTCCCTAGAACAACAGATAGCACTGAATAAGTTACGTTGGCTCGGGCACGTGCTACGCATGCCTGGTCACCGCTTACCTAGGAGGGCCTTGTTCAGTCTACCAGGTGTCGGATGGCGCAAGGCTCGAGGTGGACAGAAGTTGACTTGGCAGCGGGAAATGAAGTCACTGACTACCAAACAGGTTGCTGTTTGTCCGTCTCGTCTTCCGGGCTGGAGTCCACGTGACTCGCCTTGTGCTTGGGTCGAGACTTTACAGGACATGGCTCGCAGTCGTCACCAGTGGCGCGTCTTCTGCCGTCTCCTAATCGGATTGTCTGTTTAAAGTGTGTTTGGTGCTGAGTTATCTGCGGGGTAATGGCTGATTATGACGCGTGGCAGTGAAAGCCGCAAGGAAGCTGTCTCGCCGATGCCGCCTTATCTTTGCACGATAGCCAGCTGTTTGTGACGGTATGTTGTCTACACAAGGTGTAGGCGCCTTGATCCTGAATGTCTGCTTAGGGGATTAAGGTTTTTTAGGTAAGTCCCCCTTCTCTCCCTCTTCTTATTCTTTATTTCATAGGTGCTCAAGGTTGTATGGCAGCGAAGCATCAGTTCAAATGGCTGATGTACTGCTGTTGATGATAGAGAATAGAAGAGATCTTCCAACTTAGGAATGAAAAAGAAGGTGCGAGAGTTTGTGGAGTCCTAAAGCGAATATGCCTCAGTTGTCGGATACCAGAGGGATGCGGACGAGATGCGCTGGATATGGAACGAATATATCGCTCCGAAGGGGTGACAGCGACATGTTACTTTTGAGTCCTAAATAGATGAGCTTACAAGAGGTCAGTGGCAGGTGGACGCTAGTAAGTTATGTCGGAAAGGCCGTTAAGGTGAGGGAGGTGAAAGCAGAGTAGACAGGGGGTAATAAAAGAAACGCCGTGGTGAACGAAGTGCCAGTTGTGATTAAAGCTTCAAATCTAGACGTGGCAGTGGGACATAAGTCTTACATGAGTCGAAGTAAGCTGGTTGGGGGAGAGTAAAGGTAGGTTGGTTGAGGATTTTTAAAAAATTATTCGGGATTAAAGGGTCCGATATAGAGGGAGACCAATAGACATTAAAAAGTCAAATCGCTGGAGTCAGAGCTGGTCTGTACGCGGGGCGAATTCCGAAGAGGATCTGACCGCGGTGTGTGGCCTCGATAGGTAGTCCGAAAATAGGCGGTGTGGAAAGAAGATAAAGGCAGGCAGGTAGGTTGTCGGCAAAAATAAGGTTGGGAACTGATGGGTGAAACAGAGCATGTAAGATGAACGTCAAAGTCTAGATCGTTGACTTCTCGGATGTCTGGAAGCAGACAGTCAGAGGGCAGCAAGCTGATCTGATGAGACTAGATCAGGGCCGGGCACAAAGAGTTATGCGTTCATTTGAAGAAGGAATGAAAACAGTGCGCAGAAAAGAAAGCATAGGGTCCGGAAGGAAAAGACTATTGCGATGAAGTGGAAAAGCTAACAATATTTTCGAGGTAATATGGACAGACTGTTCGGTCTGCCGAACCATGATTGGTAAGGTCTCAGGAGACTAATGTGACCGGGTAAGGAAGGAAACTCGCTTGTCGCGCCGGGTTATTGAACGTTGGAACTCGCTTCCGGAGCACGTTGTTAGGGAGTCTACGGTTAAGGGTTTCCAGCGTCAGTTAAGTGCTCTTGGGTGGCAGTACCGAACCTTCCTCTTCTCCTAACTGACTTGTACCTTCAACTTTCCGTTCGTTTTTCTATTTCTTCTCACACCTTGGTATTATCATTATTTGGCTGACATTACTCCCCTTGTTTTCTTAGCTTACCCTTCATTCTCTTACTTCACATAAACCGGCCTGGCAGGGACTGCTGAGCAAGAAAATGTGTGCAGTAATTGGTTGGACAGGGTGTGATGCGGTCTTTATTTTAGGCAGGTCTATAAATTCCCGATCCAACAATACGCAAAAGAAGGAACATTCACGGGATCATCCTATCGTTACGCTCCCAATTGAACTTGCGACGAAATTCGTTCCTTGCTTCTTCTTTGATCCTTGTTACCATCGCGATCTGGAGACGCTACCTGCCTTTTGACAGCTAGACGCTAATTAGTTACCGCTTACCTCTTGTGTGCCGTTCCTCATTTGTCAAAGGCGGATTTACTGTAATCGCCTTGTATCGAAACATTCTTTTTGCCAACACTGAGGAGGAGACTTGATTAGTCCATCACTGTGTGATCTAAAAGGGCTAAGAAGTGCCCACTAATCCTTTATTAAGGATCTGGACTGTTGTCCCGTTTCTGTCCAGTGTGCTACATTTACTGCTATACCTATACAGTTCACTGCCGTGTGTAGTAGTGCGTGCCTAACGCCTGAGTTGCCGGTTATCACGGCGTGCTTGTCGTGTATCACTGTTTCTGCTATATTCTCTGGAAGTTTTGTTTTGAAAGTGTTCGGTTAGCACTGAACAGATATTGGACTCTGGTTTGTTGATATTTCTACGGGCATTCTGTTTCTGCCGACCGAATTCTGCTTGCAAGCATTTTCACTTCTCACAGGCTCTGTCTGGAATCACAGTTTGACCATCCTCGTGTCATGTGATAGTGGTTGTGTCCCAACGCACTTGGAATTTCTCATTAGCGGAAGTTTTGCTTCCATGATGTAATACCTATCGGCTTTATTTGTGGCATTGTTCCATCCAAGCAGCAAAATCACTTTTGTCCATTCTCTACTTCACCTCTGTAAGCACGGCTGACGTCACTACGGCCGGTCTGGTTCCTCTACCGACAACCAACCTACGTCTCCTGACACTTCAACCCGTTACTGTTCTTGGCTTGTTGCTGACTCCACACCTATTCTGCTAATTGCTTTAAATCTTCCGGTGGGTTTGTTCCCGTACCTTCTCTCTTGTTTTTATTGGTACCTCACCACAACTAGATTGTGACCTCAATAACCGCAGAAATCCTTGATTCATTTGCGCTGATCATGACCTCAGGTAGATTACAAGTGTGCTGAATATACGTGTAACACTGTAGTCACAGAAGGAATTCAGTGCGATAGGTGCTTACTCTGGTACCATAATACCTGTTCTAGGTTAGATCAAGATTGCATTGATCTTTACGCTCGTTATCCCAAATTGAAGTGGGTGTGTTTACATTGTGTTTGTCTAGCTGACTCTTGCTCCCGTATAATACGTGACCGACAGGTTGACCAACATGCTGGTTATGATGGGGAGTATTTGCAAAGGCTCAATGCAGCAGAACAGTTAATACAAGAGCAGAGATCCCTTATCGACACGTTGAGAGTGTGATTTGAGGAAATACATTCATCTCTGGAATACTTTGTGCGGTCTGCTGACATTCATCATCAACAACTGTACATCAGCCATTTGAACTGATGCTTCGCTGCCATACAACCATGAGGACCTATGAAATAAAGAATAAGAAGAGGGAGAGAAGAGGGACTTACCTGAAAAACCTTAATGCCCTAAGCAAACATTCAGGGTCAAGGCGCCTACACCTTGTGTAGACAACATACCGTCACAAACAGCTGGCTATCGTGCAAAGATAAGGCGGCATCGGTGAGACAGCTTCCTTGCGGCTTTCACTGCCCCGCGTCATAATCAGCCATTACCCCGCAGATAACAGCACCAAACACATTTTAAACAGGCAATCCAACTAGGAGACGGCAGCAGACGCGCCACTGGTGTCTACTGCGAGCCATGTCCTGTAAAGTCTCGAGCCAAGCACAAGGCGAGTCACGTGGACTCCAGCCCGGAAGACGAGACAGACCAACGGCACCCAGTTTGGTCATCAGTGCCTTCATTACCCGCTGCCAAGTCAACTTCTGTCCATCTCGAGCTTTGCACCACCCTACACCTGGTAGACTAAACAAGTCATTCCATGGTAAGCGGTGATCAGGCATACGTAGCACGTGCCCGAGCCAACGCAACTTATTCAGTGCTATCTGTTGTTCTAGGGAGCTAGCATTATTATCACCACCTAGTACTCGCCTACGCACATCATCGTTGCGGACACGCTGGTGCCATCCGACTCCAGCAATGCTTCGCAGATGACGATGATCAAAGACTTGAAGGCTCCTCAGATCTTCAGATCGGAGGGGCCAAGTCTCACTACCATAGAGCAGAACGGCCCTCACTGTGGCCTTGTATACCCGGCCTTTCAGACGGAGGGAAACGCCGTTCTGTCGCCAAAGATGCTGCAGGTTCAAGAACGTAGCTCTGGCTTTTGCAATGCGTGAGCTGACGTCAGTTTCTATGCGTCCATAATTGCTGATGCAGCTGCCAAGATAAATGAAATGATCAACCACCTCGAGTTCCTCGTGAGCAAGTGTCAAGGGTGTAACGTCCATTTTGTCAACAGCCATCACCCTTCGCCTGGACCCACATTATTGCCCTAATTCCCCTTGAATTCACTCTGTTTGAACGTTCCACGTATACCGCCCTGCATGACCCTTAGTCGTTTGTTTTCCATGCCCACCTTACATTGGTGACACCACCTGTCTCGCTACTTTCTTTGATGCATGCTCCACTTTATCGATCACTGCTTCGCACTTGTTCCATTTGCGTGTTACTATTGAGGTCAGGGTAGACCGGAGATTTTGTGGGGTGGACACACCACCCATCCGGCTGACATGTGCCCCTAACCTCAGGTCTTCATAATGTGTCCCCCATTGAACCTGCTTGATGTGATTGGACTAGTGGCTGTTGGTTTCTTGATTGGCTCACTGGTGCATGTCTCGCATGTCATGTAACCGCGCTGGGTCATTTTGCTGACTGGACGACCGTATTGATGTCCTGTTCTTGTAACGGCCAACTGATTGTACTTGTCTTTGTTTGAGGACATTGTTGAAGTATGTTGTCACTTTGATCTTTTACTCTTTGTATAATAGCACCGTAGTTCAGCATCGACTGTGGCTTTTTTGTTTCTCCGGTGCCTACACACCAACTCCGATCCTTGTCGCTCATTGATCCTCTGTCGGAGGCCGCGAATCGGTGCCCTACGCGTTGTTCAACTATCCTAAGCGATTTTTGAAGCTTACAGTGTTCAACAATCCTTTGTTTAAAGACGTCACTCTTTTGGACTTGCAATGGAAACACGAAAGAAGACGTCTATGATTCTTGAACAGAACACGATTGGATCCCGGCAAATTGAATATTTGCCTGTTGTTGACAATAATGTTTCTTGTTCTGGATCGCATAATACCTGTAAGGGTAGTCAGGCTCGAAGTTCGGTTAGTGCACGTTCTGCTGTTAGGCTGGCGGAGCTTAAGAGAAAGCAAGCCGAAACTGAGCTGGAGATTGCTAAGTTACGGTTAGAAATAGAAGTGGGCGCGAACAGCCATGAACATCTCGCCACCTCAAGTCATGTGCCTGAAATCAGAAAGGAACGTATGAGTCAGTTTTTGAAGGATTGTCAAGAAGCAGTGCCACCTCCAGTTACCCCTATGCCGTATTACCACCCGCTTTTGGGAGCTTGTCAACCGCCACTAGATCTGCCGAGAGTCGGGTTAGAATTTTTTGATGGTAATCCGATGACTTATTGGAGGTTCATCAAACAGTTTGAATACTTCGTTGAGGGTCGCGTAAGTGATAGCGGCCAGCGGTTGCTGTACCTTGTGTATTATTGCAGAGGGCGTGCTAAGGAGGCAATTTGTGAATGCACGATACTTCCACCAGAGTTGGCTTATAACAGGGCTCGATGCATTCTTCAAAATCTTTTTGGTCAAAATCATGTCATTGCTCGCTCCTTGATCGATGGTTTGCTTACTGGTCTAAGGCCCCTTAGGGACGACTGTGAGGCTTTGTCGCAATTGTCACTGAAAATGGAAAACTGCCATCTAGCTCTATCTCAGATGAATTTCACGGCCGATTTGAACTCTATAGCCACCATTGAACGAGTGGTTCGTAGTTTGCCCAATGCTTTGCAATCTCGATGGGCCAGGGTGGCAGATGCTATAATTCAACGCGGAGAGAAGTTGAATTTCGAGATTTGGCAGACTTTGTTGCTGCTGAGGCGAGAGTAGCTCGTAGTAGATTCGGCCAAATAGCGACCGCGAGTACACCACGAAGCCAGACTACCGCACAGCCGTCAAGATTAGCTGATCAGGGAAAAACTAGGAACTTCTCCCTTTACACAGTATCAGAGAAGGCCAATGGATCGGCTTGTCTAGTTTGTTGCGGCGAACACAGTGTAGCATCGTGTGAGAAATTCTTAGCTATGGTTGTCCCGGCTCGTTGGGAAATTGTCAGAACACCCGGTGGATGCTACAACTGTCTAGGGTTGGGTCACCGAGCTTCAAGCTGTCGCAGCAATAAAGGATGCAGCCTGTCTACGTGTAAGGGGTGACATCACTCGTTGTTACATCGCGACAGAGCCCCTGTTACTCTCCAGGATTACTCAAATACTTGTAATGCGGCCGCTACCTCTCCCAACAGGGTCTCTCTGGGCGTGGTACCAGTGCGTTTAGATGGCCCGTTAAGGTCAATTAACACTTATGCTTTGTTAGACACTGGTTCGGATGTGACGCTAGTGCAGGAGGCCCTTTTGCAGGAGGCGGGCGTAAACGTTGACACTACATCTTTGACGATGCAGACAATAAGTGGTATTACATCCTTGCAAGCAGGTGTGGCCAATTTCCGCTTGTCGGCGTTGAGAAGTGCAGACTACGTCACAGTTGAACGTGCCTACTGCTTGAAGCGCTTGCCATTACGATCAGTGGGAAACGCTTGTGGTCAGCTGGCAAAGCACTGGCCACACTTATCGGACATCCACTTTGATGTTCTGACGGATAACAGAGTCCGAGTATTGATAGGTGCAGATGTACCCGAAGCACATTGGCAAAGTGAACGCCGTACTTGTGGTAGGAAACACCCGTTTGCCGCGAAAACCCTACTCGGCTGGATATTGTTGGGGCCTGTGAACATGAGTGGTCAGCATTGCGCTTCCGTAAACTGTGTGCAAGTGGATGATCATTCGCTAGAAGCACAACTTAAAATGTTGTATGATGGTGGGTTCGAAGGTGTCGGCTCCAGCGCCCGCTCCCTCTCCATAGAGGATAAGACAGCACTGTCCATCGCTGAAAATTCTATACGACTAGTGAAGGAACACTTCGAAATAGCTCTACCTTGGAGAAATCGACAAGCAGTTGTTCCAAATAATTATGGGTCAGCTCTTCACAGATTGCACTGTTTGAGTCGACGACTACTAAACAATCCAACATTGCGCGAAAGGTACACGGCGGCATTGGAAATAAGCAGGACTAAAGGATACGCAGTTTTGGTGCCACCTGCGCACTTACAACCAGGCTATGCACCAAAATGATACTTACCGCACCACGCAGTGATTAATCCAAAGAAGCCGGACAAACTTAGAGTGGTGTTTGATTGCGCCGCAAGGCACAAAGGGCTTTCCCTAAACGATCAACTATTTCAAGGACCAGACACTACCGCGGATCTAATTGGAGTCCTACTGCGTTTTAGGGTTGAGATGGTAGCGGTTTCTGCAGACATTGAAGATATGTTTATGCAGGTGAAGGTGCCCATGAGTGACAGAGGTGCGCTACGCTTCCTTTGGTGGAAGGATGACGAGATTGGCTCGGAAGTGATCGAGTATCAAATGACGGCACATCCATTTGGAGCCACTTCATCACCGTTTTGTGCCAACTTTGCCTTGCGTCGAACAGCTAGTGAATGGGGATGTCATTATAATGAGAGTGTAGCCGCAGCAGTACACCATAACTTCTACGTCGACGATCTTCTGATCTCACTACCAACTGTTGAAGAAGCGACGCAATTTGTGGCACAGATCAGGGAGATGCTGAGCAAAGGAGGGTTCAAGTTGTGTAAATGGGTCAGCAGCCACGAAGGGGTGTATAGTGCGATTCCTTTTACAGAGGTCACCGGGTCAGTCAAGCCTTTGGCTGAAACATCTGGATCGGTGAAGCGAACACTGGGGATAGTTTGGGATTCTCGTGAGGACGCCTTTCTTTATCAGTTCGCAATACCAGATAGGCCGAAAACGAGAAGGGGCATCTTGTCTGCGGTATCGTCCATTTATGACCCCTTGGGTTTTATTGCCCCTTTAATTACGCCCGCGAAGTTACTCCTTCAAATGATGTGTCGCGACAAGGCGCACTGGGATGACCCGATCACTAGCGCATACGAAAAAATCTGGAGTGCGTGGTTAAGTGATATGAAGGCTCTAAATGTTTTGAAGATACCCCGGTGCATTCGCAGGTTCACTGGGCCTGAAGAGCGGCCACAATTGCACATCTTTTGTGATGCTTCAGAGAATGGATATGGTGCGGTTGCTTATGCTAGGTTTCGCACCGAGAACATCGCATACTGCTCATTGTTATATGCTAAGTCAAGAATAGCCCCTCTAAAGGCTGTATCAATCCCACGGTTGGAATTGTCGGCGGCCGTGCTTGCAACGAAGCTGTATGAGGATGTGACCGAGAGGGCTCAGTTAGTTTTCGAAAAGGTATGGTTCTGGACAGATTCTACCACGGTCTTATATTACATAAATGATGAATCTAAATGGTTTAGCACCTTCGTCGCCAACCGACTGACAATCATCCATGAATTGTCCACACCCAGCCAATGGAAACACGTCAAATCCGGTTGCAATCCTGCTGATCCGCTATCGAGAGGTACTACATCTCTAGCCTCCTTAAAGAACTGGTTCCTCGGGCCAGATTTTCTGCTGAGCGAGAACGATGATTGGTCCGAATTCTGCCTTAGTTGCGAGCCGGAAGATGCAGAACTGAAGCATTCTACTGTTCAGGTCTACGCAACCTCAAAGGAAACACCATTGTCTACTCTAATCCAAGGGTATTCAGACTGGGTTAAGTTGTTAAGGACTGTTGTGTGGCTGTCTCGATTCAAGCAGTACCTGAATGCTCGTAGGTGTGGAACCAGTGGAGTGCTGCAACATGCTCGGTTAATTACTCTAAAGGAACTTCACAAGTCCGAGTACGACGTCATTTGAATCGCGCAGCTCGAATTATATCGAGCGGAACTAACACGACTCGAAAAGATAGCTGGGGACTCGGCGTCTCCTAAGTGGGAAATACTGCGAGGTCCTCTGGCGCGACTACACCCAGTAATGCGTGATGGCTTGCTTTGTCCAGGTGGTAGGTTGGCCTACTCGGAGTACGATGCTTCCTTTAAGTTTCCAATTATACTACCTCCCAAGCACACTGTCACCGATTTGTTGATCCGCTTTTATCACTTGCTGGAAGGTCACGCAGGTGTTTCTCAAGTTCTGGCGAGTCTACGCCGTAAATATTGGATAGTTCGTGGAATGGCGGCAGTAAAGCGGTTATAGGAACTTGTTGGACATGCAAAAAAAGACTCGCCACTGCCGGTCAACAGCTAATGGCACCGTTGCCGCTAGCCCGTGTGGAACGGGGATGGCACCCCTTCAAGTTTGTCGGCGTGGATTATTTCGGACCATTTATTGTTAAACACGGGCGGAGACAAGAGAAGCGCTATGGATGCCTATTTACATGTATGCAAGCACGAGCCGTACACATCGAACTCTCACCTACATTGAGTACTGACTCTTTTATCATGGCCCTGAAACGATTTGTTGCCCGCAGAGGGACCCCGGCCGAAATATTCAGTGATAATGGGGGCAATTTTGTGGGTGCTGCTACTGAGTTGCGTACTGCCATGAAGAGCTGGTCACAAGCAAAGATCATTGATGAGCTACTGAGTATAGGAGTGCAGTGGCACTACAACCCACCGATGGCCAGTCACAGAGGTGGTATTTGGGAACGCATCATTAGGTCTGTTAGGCGGATCCTGTTATCTGTCGCAGGGCAGCAGACGTTGGATGACGAGACACTGAACACTCCTTATTGAAGCGGAGCGCATCGTCAACAGTAGACCACTTGTACTGCTAACTTCGGACCCCAACGACCGCGAGGCACTTACACCTAACGATTTGCTGATATTGCGATCCAACGCAACGCATATATTAACGGCCCTGCCTGAAGAATATAACCGCTGTTGGCGACAGGTGAATTACCTAACTGCGTTGTTCTGGAAAAGATGGGTTAGAGAGTATTTGCCGTTGCTGCAATCGAGACAAAAGTGGTTACACAGCAGTCGAAATTTTAGACCAGGTGACGTGGTTTT